AACTTTTTTAAAAAGTTCAGCTATAAACAATATCTTTTTTGAAAACTATTAATAAAACAAATAAGCCAGAGGCCTGTTGTTATCTTACACTGTTATTTGTATGGGTATGTTTTTCTCCAAGTTCTTGTTAATAGTGCTTGGGTTTTTCGTTGTGTTCTGTTTTTAATCAACAATATTTTTTCACGCCCGTGTGTCACCGGGGCCCTCACGGGAAGCAAAGAATAGTGACACTGCACCCTACCAGGCATGTCGTAAGAGGCGACTAAGGGTATGGTTTGGCTTGAGTTTGGCTACCTCATCCTGTAAAATCCATAGCCACAAAAACCAACCAACCATGGACAAGTCAAAAAGAGAAGCAAATAAAATCCAGCCAACCAAGATGAGGGGAGGCTCTTAAAATAGAAGAAGTATGACACGGTGTGGAGAAAGCCGTAAGGAGTCCGGATCGTTGACTTACCTCCTCTCAGCTAGGAAAACCTCCAGAATTGGCACCTGGAATGTTAGAACTCTCTATGATTTAGGGAGAACAATGGAAGTAGCAAAGGAAATGAAACATTATAGAATTAGTATTTTAGGGTTATGTGAAACTAGATGGACTGGGACAGAGAAAAGTATTCTTAATTCAGGAGAAACTATTTTGTTCTCAGGACACACAGAGGAAAATTTGCCGCACAGTGAAGGAGTGGCCCTGATGCTATCAAAAGAAGCAGACAGGGCCCTAATAGAATGGGAAGCTGTGAGTCCCAGAATAATGAGAGCATCTTTTAGAACAGTGAAACAGAAGGTGAACATGTCTGTAATACAGTGTTATGCACCAACAAATGATAAAGATGCATCTGTTAAGGAAGAATTTTACATGCAGCTTCAAAATATTATAAATAATGAAAGAAAGGGCAACTTAAAAATTGTGATGGGTGACTTGAATGCTAAGATAGGATCAGACAATACAGGTTATGAAGAAATTATGGGGAGACATGATCATTTTGTGCAGGTAACCAGTATGTTATTGGTGGAATTATTTTTCCCCATAAAAGAATACACAAGGCAACATGGGAATCACGAGACCATAAGACAACTAATCAAATTGACCACATATGTATTAACAAAAAGTTTAGATCATCCCTTTACGATGTTAGGGCTTTCAGATGTGCCGATGTATTTACTGACCATTTCCTGATGGTAAGTAAAATCAAGTTGAAACTAAAAAGATATATAACATCTTATAATCATAGAAACCAATATAATGTAGGCTTTCTCAGAGATAAAGAAATCAACGAACAGTTCTCAGTTACGGTCTCTAATAAGTACCAGGTGTTGCAGCAGTTGACTGAAGATGTCAACGCAGAAGTCTGCTGGGATCAGATCAAAGGAATCTGGAATGAATCTTGCGTAGAAGTTCTTGGCAAGAAAGAAAGGAAACATAAAGCATGGATAACACCAGAAACCATTAAACTGATTGAAGATAGGAAAAATAAAAAGGCAGAATTAAACAATAGCAAAACTAGAGCTGCTAAAGCTAGAGCTCAGGAGAAATACACAGAAGCCAACAAGGAAGTTAGGAGGCATATAAGGGCAGATAAAGTGAAATATCTAAATGATCTAACACAAGAAGCGGAGACAGCAGCAGCAAAAGAGAAACCTCAGAGAACTTTACAGTAACACAAGAAAATTAGTAGGTAAATATAGTCAGCCAACTTGATCAATCAAAAATAGATCAAATGGACAGATGGGTTGAATATTTTGAAATGCTTCTAAATAGACCAGGCCCAGAGGTTCCCCCAGATATCCAGCCTTTAGAAATGGAACTGGATATCAACTGTGAGATACCATCCAAAGAGGAAATTAGAAAAGCTATAAATCTTCTCAAGGAAGGAAAGGCGACAGGCCCAGGTGGTATCCCAGCTGAAGCCATCAGGACCAACACAAACACATCAACAGAATTGGTACATAGATTATTCAGTAAAGTCTGGGAGACCGAAGAAATACAAGCAGACTTGAGAGAAGGATATCTTGTGAAACTGCCCAAAAAAGGTGATCTACAGGAGTATGAAAACTATAGAGGAATTATGTTGCTGTCAGTTCCTGAAAAAAATTTTAAGTAGAATTATTTTGGAAAGTTAAAAAGATGCTATTGATAAAATGCAAAGAGATGAGCAGGCAGGTTTTCGGTCAAACAGATCCTGTACTGATCAGATAGCCACATTAAGTATTATAATAGAGCAAAGCATTGAACTGAACTCACCACTTTACATTGGATTTATAGACTATGAAAAAGCATCTGACAGCATTGATAGGGTATCTCTCTGGAAATTGATGGGGCACTATGGAATCCCACAGAAAATTATCAACTTAGTAAAGGCAACATATAAAGACATGAAATGTCGAGTTCTTCATGAGGGAACGCTAACAGATGCATTTGAAATAAAAACAGGTGTGCGACAGGGATGTCTTTTGTCGCCTCTCTTATTTTTACTGGCTATAGACTGGACTATGAAAACAGTAACTGCTAACCCCAAGAATGGAATTCAGTGGACCCTTACAAAACAGCTTGATGATCTGGACTTCGCTGATGATATTGCTCTTCTGTCCCATTCACGGAATCAGATACAAGATAAATTAAATATACTTAATGCGAGATAACAGCAACTTGGTCTGAAAATCCATAAAGGAAAGACAAAGATAATGAGAATAAATCAGGCAAACAGTAATGTGGTTTCTCTTAATGGCACCCCACTCCAAGACGTGGAGTCGTACACCTATTTAGGCAGTAATGTAGATAAAGATGGAGGAACTGATAGAGATATTAAAATAAGAATACAAAAGGCAAGAGGGGCTTTCATAGCACTAGGGAATCTGTGGAGGTCAAAAGAAATTAAAAGAAATACTAAACTAAAAATTTTTAATTCTAATGTCAAATCAGTACTATTGTATGGGGCGGAAACATGGAGAACAACCAAGGCAATTACAAATAAATTACAGACATTCATTAACTGGTGCCTGCGCAGAATAGAGGGAATAAAATGGTATGATAGAATAACTAATGTAGAACTTTGGGAAAGAACTAAACAGGCCCCAGTGGATCAAGAGGTGAGGAAAAGACGCTGGCGTTGGATAGGGCACACACTGGGAAAACAGGAGAACAGCATAACTAGAATGTCTTTGCATTGGAACCCACAGGGGCATAGGAATAAAGGAAGGCCAAAAAACACATGGATAAGGGAGCTGGAGAATGAGGTTAGAACGATCGGGAGGACATGGGGAGAGCTCCATGCAACGGCAAAGGATAGAACGGTTTGGCTTGAGTTGGTTGAGGGCCTATGCTCCATTGGGGGATAGAAAGGCAGAAGGAGAAGAATATTTTTTCAAGTTGGGGGAAACGGGTGTCTCTGTGTGTGTGTGTGTGTGTGTGGGGGGGGGGGGGCAGAGGTGGTGGGGTGGTCCTTGTGAAAAAAAAATTACCGGGTTGGGGAGGGGGTGCGCCACCAGAAAAAGGTTAAAAATCGCTGTTACAAATACAACCAAACGATACCCAATTATTCACGTGTATTCTGTAGAGAAATGAGATATCACACCAGTTGAAGTGCATACAAATATCACAGCAGAAACAGTGCAATCCAATATCACTGCTGTTGACACGGCGCTTCGATCTGAAGAAATTTAACGCCACCTCATCATTACAGATACCTACGTTACCATGGAAAACCAACGCTATGTTTTTAATCGATGGTCTTTTCCTCCAAGGTAAAGCCACGTCTACTATTAAACCAAATCTATCATTAGCTGTCACATACATGGATTGCAACGATCTTCTTTAAATTCTCATACGAAAAGGCTTGCTTTTAATATTGCAGTTACCGTAAATTGTGGGGTATGTTTCGTTCTGGCAAACAAGAAGTCTCACGATTGTTAGCTCAGAATACTGAGTGAGTCCTATGCCAATCAAACACATGTTATACCCACCATATAAGTCGACCTTTAGATTTGGAAAGATGTTTTAGACTTGAAACTCGAATTTACCGCACGCTACGACGTACGTTTCGACCTGGCACATAAGCCACCTCAAGATTTGTAGCTCAAAATACTGAGTAAGTAAATATCCATCTAACACATTTTATACCCACCATATGAGTCGAACTATGCGTTAAGCTTTAAAACTGGACTTATACGCCGTAATTTGAGGTAACTCTTTGAGTGCTAAACAGTTGCTATTTAATCCTTCTATTTCAGGCAGTTTATCTTATAATCAGTAACTAAGTAAATCTAGAAAACGTTCAACACAATGTAGACCAGAAGAAGTTACAGTAAAAAGTAAAGGTGATGATAATAGTGATGATAATGGTCATGATGATAACGGTGACAATGATGATATTGGTGACGATGATGATAATGGTGACTATGATGATAATGGTGATGATGATGATAATGGTGATGATGATGATAATGGTGATGATGATGATAATGGTGATGATGATGATAATGGTGATGATGATGATAATGGTGACGATGATGATAATGATGACGATGTTGATAATGGTGACGATGATGATAATGGTGACGATGTTGATAATGGTGACGATAATGATAATGGTGATGATGTTTTCTTTTTTGGTGGTTGATGATACTGATGATGGTGATGCTGGCAATAATGGTGATGAACTTTAACAAACGTATGATGAACTTTGGAATGATTAACAAACGTATGATGAACTTTGGAATGATCAACAAACGTATGATGAACTTTAGAATGATCAACAAACGTATGATGAACTTTAGAATGATCAACAAACGTATGATGAACTTTAGAATGATCAACAAACGTATGATGAACTTCAGAATGATCAACAAACGTATGATGAACTTTAGAATGATCAACAAACGAATGATGAACTTTAGAATGATAAAGTATGATGAACTGCTTGGTCCCGAAAGAGATTACATTAGACCCAAGTCTGTGCTTCAATTGTTGGAACAGCTACTGAACACAGTACACACATGCCTACCTGAGATATAATCTTTTCTCCATCTTTAAACATCCTGGAAGTGAGTGCATCACATACATTCATTCGTTCATAAACCTGAAACATAAAAAATTAAAACACTGTAATTCACTATATTAGAAAAACTAAAAATAAAAGCTAGCACTCAAACGAAAAAAAAATTGTTAGATTTGTTATTTATATCAAATATTTTCCACAAGGCTCGCTTTATCGACTCTCTAGAGAGGGACTTTTATTATACCCAGACTCAAGTGTAATCACACATACGCACACACACACACACACACACACACACACACACACACACACACACACATGTGTGTTTGTGTGGCTGCATAGTACTTTTGGTTTTATTCCACTTTCTGGACCAGTATTTCTGACTTCAGGATCTCTTGAGAGGGAAAGTGGGCTCATCCCTTCGCCTTTAACTCGTTTATTGTCACACCCAGTTTCCAGATGGGGTCGAGACCCCTACATTCAACTGCGTTGCTGGAAATGACAGAGTCCACCACGTGAAGATGAGGTAAGCTTCAGCAAGAGAGGCTAATGGACATGAAAGAGTCTAGCACTGCGCATCACTGCACCATTAGGACCCATTAGGGAATACTGGCAAAATTAGTCAACACTGCAATCAAAGTTGTATAGAACTAAAGGGGAACTACTATAAACATTAAATTTTATCATAAAAACATGTCTGTCGCTGTACATCAGAAAGCGAACACACACACAAAAAGAAGAAGAAGAAGAAGAAGAAGAAGAAGAAGAAGAAGAAGAAGAAGAAGAAGAAGAAGAAGAAGAAGAAGAAGAAGAAGAAGAAGAAGAAGAAGAAGAAGAAGAAGAAGAAGAAAGAAGAAAAAGAAGAAGAAGAAGAAGAAGAAGAAGAAGAAGAAGAAGAAGAAGAAGAAGAAGAAGAAGAAGAAGAAGAAAAAGAAGAAGAAGAAGAAGAAGAAGAAGAAGAAGAAGAAGAATGAAAAGGAGGAAGGAGGAAGCAAGGAGCAAGAGGAGAAAGAGAATAAAAATAAGAAAAGTAGAAGACATGTAATTTAATTAACATGCAGTAAACATAAACACTTGAGGTAGAGCAGTCAACATACAACTTTGAGAGACCTAGTAACGGAGAAATTACACAGCGAACGTGGCGAAGGCCGTGTGCGATCAAGTGGACAGTGCAACAGTCCAGATCGAGCATCCATACACTGACAAACTATTTCAATAGGAAGTGAGGAGACCATCTGGAAGATATTCAATACTAAGGGGAAAACATTTGTCAAACGTTAGTTGCGTATCCTTTACAAATTAATCAAGTAACAGAAAGTATTGTGAACGGCACTCATTGAAAGAAGTAGAAAGATAGAAGAACTCACTAGACAACATAACAATCGAAAGCTATTGTTACCGTGCCGGGAATTGAACCTGTCACCCCCAGACGGCGTCTGCGCCTCGCCATGAATACAAGTGCACTAAGATACATGGTCAACTAGGCACCCCCAAAAAAAGGTGTCTTACTGGCCATGTCTATCGTACAGCTTGAAATCCACGACTATGGAATATTTAACGGCCTCAAATGGTTCCCCCCTCTGTTTATTTATAGGAATGACGTATCCTTTACAGGAAGCCGCAGAACGAACTCCTGCTTTGTTTGACCGTTGTGGGTTTTCTAGGCAAGTTAACGTCCAGTAGTTTAAGGGGAAAATATAGGCGGACTTTTACTCAAGTTGAGATTGGTATTATTAGCATGTCACCTCTTTGTTGGATACTGAGAAAGGAGACGGAGCACGTGTGGGAGTGTACCGAGTTTGGGCATGGGGGAGGGGGCGGGGACAGGGGTGGGGTCAAGTGGCCCGAGTCTCTAAGTTCCGGCGCCCCTGTGTAATACAATAGAATTATGGGATATCGATATAACTAATCCAGAACCACAAAGGTCAAGATCTGAGGAGAGAGAGAGAAAGAGAAAACTGACTCAGAACCACAAAGATCAAGATCTGGAGAGAGAGAGAGAGAGAGAGAGAGAGAGAGAGAGAGAGAGAGAGAGAGAGAGAGAACTGACTCAGAACCACAAAGATCAAGATCTGAGGAGAGAGAGAGAGAGAGAGAGAGAGAGAGAGAGAGAGAGAAAACTGACTCACAACTACAAAGATCAAGATCTGAGGAGAGAGAGAGAGAGAGAGAGAGAGAGAGAGAGAGAGAGAGAGAGAGAACTGACTCAGAACCACAAAGATCAAGATCTGAGGAGAGAGAGAGAGAGAGAAAACTTACTCAGAACCACAAAGATCAAGATCTAAGGAGAGAGAGAGAGAGAGAGAGAGAGAGAGAGAGAGAGAGAGAGAGAGAGAGAGAACTGACTCAGAACCCCAAAGATCAAGATCTGAGGAGAGAGAGAGAGAGAGAGAGAGAGAGAGAGAGAACTGACCCAGAACCACAAAGATCAAGATCTGAGGATAGAGAGAGAGAGAGAGAGAAAACTGACTCAGAACCACAAAGATCAAGATCTGAGGAGAAAGAGAGAGAGAGAGAGAGAGAGAAAACTGACTCAGAACC